AATTGAAACTAGAACCATTGGAACCGTTGATTTTTTTTCGATTTTTAAAGATATTAAAGATCAAATAAGTTAAACTCAGTGATTTAAAGTTGAATTTTTTTATTTTTTAACAAAAATTAGAATGATTAATATTCATATATATATATATATAACAGTGGGTAAAAAACCGGACAATCCTGATTTACTTTAAATTTTCAATATTGGCTTTCCATCGCATGAAAATAAGTGAAATAAGGCCCTTGTAATTTTTCAATAATGTATCTTCCAGATAACGGTCGGGATATACATTGTTGGAAGTTTAAACTTTTAATATTATTAAACGATGAAAAAATATTTTTTTTTTTATTGAAGAAAAACACTTTAAAAAATGTTTACTGATATATGTCTCTGCTAGTGCGACTACTTTGTATCCCCGGTCCTGCATTCGCAGGAATGTATTTGCGATAACAACGACCGACCGACCGCGACCGGCGCCACCTCATTCACGCATATCTCTAATTATAGATAATTATAAAATTAGAATATTATAATAATAATTAAAATAATTGTTCTAATAATCATGTCTAATAATTACTACTTTTATTATTTAATACTCTTGAATCATCGGACCACGAATAAATATGATCTACACGATGTACAAATGTTTAAAAATTACCAGCATTGACGATGCAACCTTTCAACTATCGTCTGCTAGCAATTTACATTACACGGTTAACATAATAAAATATTATTAATATATAATATGATGAATAGATATTTTAAACACTATTTTTTTTACGGAAAAAATTTATTTCAATATTGTAGTTCCTTAAACAAATAAAAATACAACCTAGTATACATTTATAATGGTTAGCTAGCCTATCTGCCTAGTTGCTCGCATATACCGGTCATTAGCGCATGTTTTATATAATATAAATGACGCGACGAGAAAAACAATCATACCTAGAGTTAAAAAAAATATAATTATTTTATATTATATATTTATATATTTATAATTATTTTACTTTTATTTCATTATCTTATACCTTTAATGTATATGTTACATGAATGTATTCTCTATCATTCTCTCTTCTTATTTTCAACCCTATAGTTGGTTTAGCAGTTGGACACGCTCTCTACTCTTCCATGTTACCATTTAACCTCTTTAAATTCTTGTAGTTTGACAGTCCTGCATCAGAGATCATTTGCTTGACAAATTAAGTTCTCTGACGTCTTAGGTCTTTCTTCCTTTAATTTTTCCTTCTATTATTCTGTAAAGTTATTCGTTTTCGTGCTTCAATATGTGACCAATCATGTTCTATCGTTATGTTTTGATGGTTTTAAGTTACTCTCTGCGTTCATTTATTTCATTGAATATGCTTTCGCTGATTCGGTGATATATCCAACTTACTTGTAACATCCTTCTCCAATACAACATTTCAAAGCATTCGAGAATTCATTGTTATATTTTATTTAGTATCCAGGTATTGCAGTCGTATAGCACCATACTTCATACGTATAATTTTATGAAACGATTCCTCGCCCTAATACTTATATATTCTTGTAATGAATAACAGATATTTTTAAGTTTCTTTTGTTAATGAATTTTTCAAATTGTATATAGTTAAGTTCTTCTTGTGTTTTTTTATTCTTATTATTATTAGTATTGTCATTCACTGGCAGTATATTTGGTTCTTTAACGTATTTTTTCCGTATCTGGTTGGACAGGGATGAACGGATATTTCATGTTTTAGTAGTTTTACAATATGATCTGCAGTTTTCTCTGTAGCTTTCAATGTAGCTTTTTTAATATTGTCTTTTGTTTGTATCATTCTAATTGGTTTCTTAATCAGGCTGGTCCGATAAGTTATCGCTATTATTTTCTTCACTACCCAAAGTGTTCGTGAGTATTCCTTTTTCTTTTTCATTGTCTTTTCCTGGACTTTTTTAGTTAACCTTTGTCTTTCTGAGGGTCCCGGAGTATTTTTATCGTGATTGTTCATTTTATTTTTTGGAAGAAAAAAAATAAATATTTCTTTACTTTGTCCAAAAACTTTCACATTCGTTGTTTATGATTTATTTCTTCTGTTGAAATACCCCTTCTAATACTACTTGGAAAGTTACTCGGGTGGTGTAATTTAAATGTATGTAATTTTACTGGTTGATACATACATACAATATATATATTTATATTTATCTTTATATATTATTAAAACGTAAGGCGATTTCTTATGACAGTTATATCTAAAGTTCTACTGCATTGATTTTCATGATTTCTTTTTCTAACGCAAGTACTAGGTATGCAAATGAGCCATCCAGAGAAAAGTTCAAAAAATGAATTATTTAAATAGTTATTAAAAGAATTAAGTTTGCCGTATTTTTATATAGCGGCATTCGTTGACGACGCCGGTATAACCCTACACTACTACGTTTACTGCAGTACTGTAGCTTTGTAAAAAAAAAATTAAGAAAACTGTGCTGAAAATTAGAAAATTTAAAAATATTTTACCAACATATAAAACTATTTCTAATCTAACCATAGCGCTTTGGACAATATAAACTTTTTTAATGTAGCCTTTTGACGTTTGACATAGAATTAACAGAATGCGTGCTGCAAATATCGTCAAAGAGGATGTAAAAAACTGAATATCGTTTAAAACAGATATTTTGGTCGTAGATATTATTATTATTTATTAGTAATATATCTAATTAATATATCTATGTAGGATAACTGAATTTCTAAGTGAACGTGATAGTTTGTTCAGAGCCATCACATCTTATAGTTCAAGTTTCAAGTTCAATTTAATATGAAGTTTTGGTAAGTTTGGATAGACTAACCATACACTTTGTTTGGACCTTTTCCGTTAATTCACTACCACTATTTTTTATTTTTTATTTTTTTTTGGTTATTTTTCAAACCATATCTACTTTATTATGTGTTATAAAATGATAACTTTGTGAATTCTCGTTTAGTTATAGTACCAATAATACCTTGTATTTGTGGTCTAGATATGTGATTTACTCACGCAGCGAGGTTTTAGGTTCACATACAAAACATAATCCCATTTTCAAAAGTATCAAGGTTTGTACAAAAAATAGGTTAGTCTTAGACTATAATTCCCCTTGAGGCGAAGCCCCATCCCCCCGAAAAGTGCCACACAGTGGATTCTACCAATTCCTTGTCCCAATCATAAATAACGCATACAAATTTACACTTTCAAAATTTAGTCTGAAAAATCAAAAATTAAACGAGTGAAAAAAAAAATGAAGCGTTGAAAATATCCAAAACGAAAGTATTTTAACACGTTCATGTTCGCCATGTCTAACCAAACATTGATAACAGATTTATAGTTAAAACAATTAAAATTTATGTAACTGAAAAATAATTTGTTTTATCTTATAAATTCTGGATTGGAAAAATACATTTTTTCTAAAGAAAAAGTTGATTTATTCTCCTGAAGCGATCAAATATATACTAGACTCTTGACATACAGATTTATGTAGTTTTACAAAATCTATAAATGTATTATTATACTCTTTTCGAAATTGATCAATGATGTTGAATTTAATGTTATATTTAACTTTATAGTGTATGATATTATGTTGAAAATGTCTGTCATTATTCGGTGTCACTAATGGTTAACTTGTGTTAGATATCTATCGATGCCTTCATTGATAATCAAGTAGTGCAATCAAAATGTATGGGAGTGAATGAGTTGGTGGTGATAACATAGAACTAAATATTGGAGAGGATTGAGGTCATCAAAGTTATATGGAAAACTTATATGCGCCGCTGATAATAGTTGTTATACTGTAGCATTGAGTACGAGTTGTAGGATAACTTTAAAAAAATACAGAACATTAGCCAAATATAAATTCAAGAGAACACTCATTATTTTATAACATTTAAAAAACATACAGGTATAAAATAAACAATAATATTGATACGTACACAACGAAAAAGGTCATAAATATAATTTATCAGATGGTATAGATTATATTTAAATTTATATTGCTGGTCTGATTTTAGTTCTATCTTTTTAAATCCATGTCGATTTTAGTATTCATAAATTGAGCTTTTTTTTTATAAATTTTAAATCGTTATTTTAAGCTTTATATAAAGAGCAAACATTAATGATACGACTCTTTTCGTTGTAGATCCCAAATACATGAAATTATAATATAGATAATTTAATAACTATAATTACAATACCAATTATATAATTTAATATTAGCACTTTGATCTATCACTATACAGGTCCTTATAATTATATACAGTTCCATACTCTTTTTAAATTGAAAAACTTGATTACTATAATTATTAAACTTATTTACACACTAATAATTTTATAAATATAATAAAATAAAATACAATAACAAATAGTTCAAGAATCTATGTTGAAATATTGTCATCAAGTTACTTTTTTAAAGATTATATATATGTATATTACTGTTTTTAATAATAGTTTTTGGGCTACCACTAATACTTTTTTTTTATGGCAATAAGTTTTTTCATTATTTTTTTTAGAATATTTATGAAAAAATTCAAATCTACAAAAAAAAAAAAATATATAAATATAAAATTTAATTATATAAAAAATATAAAATCTCCACAAAAAATCATTAATAATTAGATTATTTAAAACTAAAAAGCGTAATACATTTATACATTATGCTTAGAACTATTTAATTTGTAAACTGAAAAAATTTAAAACTTATAAGATGTAAGTATTTTTAATTTTTAGATCAATTTATTGTTGAATCATGTTCTTATTTATTTATCAAATTAATACTTTATTGTATCTAGAGATATTAAAAAAAAAAAAATCAAACTTAATACTGTACTAACAGTCTTGACTAAGCGTTTTATGATTTTTAAGTAGTATTTATAAGATACATGGAGCAATTATTTTCAAACAAAATTATTAGTAATATATATATATTTATATACATAGTTATACATAGTCAATACATTATTATCTTGATTTTATTTTTATACATTATGTAATTATTCTTTATATTCAAATATGGTTTTGTTGTATAATATGTGTGACTTATATTTATTTTCCTATGATTGAATCCTATTTATTTGTTTGGTGTTCCAATGAATGCAAAGTTACCATACAAAGTTAAAAGCTGTTATTATTATAATTTATGATAAGAAATGCTATAGAAAATGATTTGTAATTTACAACACTAGCATGTGTAATGAATTTATGACTTAATAATAATACATACATTTTTATATACAATTCAATGCACCTTCTGCCTACTATACATAACTGTAAATTATTGTAATTTTAATGAAAATACTAGTGTAATATGTTACTTGATAGTTTTTAAATTAAATAATTATTGTTTCATCAGGAAATTGAAAATCTTTTCTAAATGGCCTTCTTCTATTCTTTAGCCTTCTGTAAGGTCGTGTTCTTATGATATGAGGTGGTGGTGACAAATCTATTTCTTCTAAAAACTTAGAACCCCTGCTCGGGGGAGTTAAGAATGACGGAACTTCTGGTCTAGAAGATAGTAGAATTGGTTCTGTTTTTAGTAAACTATGCTCAACAAATCCAGCACATTGCGCTGCACAAACATCATCCCGCATCATTTTTTCGACGCCAACTTCATTCATTAAACGACCACAGTCGGTAACTCTTAACGAAGCACAGTTCGACTAATACATTATAAATAACAGATAAATATTTTAAATATTTCCAAAATATATAATTAATGAAAGTTAAATAATTACCCCTTCGGGTGTACAGATACAGCTGGTGCAAGGTGATGGCAAATATGATTCACCAATTGCAACAATATGGCCATTAATATTGCAACCTCGATGATTGTCTTTCCATAGAGTTAAATCAATTACTGGCAATACTTGACAAGGAAGTCTTGGATTCCTTAAATAATGATTTTTAAAATGTTTAGAACCAATCTACTTAGATATTAAGAATTAATTGATAACATTTTTGTATACCAAAAATGTGTTTAAATAATCTGATAAACCATTGGTATAATATGGATTTTAATGTACAAAGAAAGAAGCAGACATGAAATTTACATACATAATAATATATACATTAATAGTAAAATCAAGAATTTATCTCGTGGTGTGAAAATGGACAAAATTATGACGATTTATATGAAGTAATAATTTGGTAAAATAAAACTATCAAAAATAAGATAAATTTAAATTTTAAAGTACTAAACAACATTGATATAACTATATATACTTACAGATAATCGTTTGGTTGATCAAATGCAGCTTTCTGAATATCACTGTGTACGTCCATGTTTTCACATAACATTTTAGACAAAGTTGCTTTTCGAATTTCTGCAAGTTGAGCTTCAGAAAATCTAATTAGTGGGTTATCTGTTTCAAACCTATAAAAACAAATTGAAAGTCAGAAAACAAAAAAAAAAAAAATTAACAAAATATAATATATCAAAAATATAAAATATAACTACCAAAAACGATCACATTGTTTTAGGTGTCTGAACTGCAAGCCTATAATGCATGCAAAAGTTGGTCCAACAAGACCACCTTTTACCGGGTATTCACTTAAGCCTCCGGGGAATAAGTCGATATCATCTGGGCTGGCGTATATCGTTTTGAACCTAACAATAACTTCTGGAGATAGTTCCCTTGATAAATCTTCCCAGGTATTTGCTCGTTGAAGACCGCATCTTGCTCTAAATGTGTTGTACGAAGGAACACCGTGGTCGCGACCTAAGTATTTAATATTTCGTTCATGTCAGTTTTATTATTGATAGGTTATTTTAAGTATTACGAAAGAGATAATTTATACCTCTTTGAATGTTTAGAGCTGGTAAATCTTGCCCAGAATGTGGTATTTTCACGTTTTCAAACAAATGGTTAGTAATTTCACCAGTTACAAACTGATCCAAGTTTTCCATTGGCGTGCTAACTTGACCCCTAACTAATTCATCAATCATTTGGTCCTAAATCAGTTATAAATAACGTTGGAATGTTAATAAATTAAACCGATAAATCATTTTTTATGAAAGATGAACTACCTTATAAATAACGTCAGGATTGAAAAATACATCTCTTAATAACAAAGCCGGTTCTATAGGTTGATATGTTGGTGACATTCTAGGAATGTGAGGTCGTAATAAACTATGGCCTATTCGAAAAGCGGCCACAGCAAATTCTGTAAATGGTCCCGGATGACAATCGGAAGAGTAACCTATAAATGTATAAACAAACGTTAAAATGTACAACTTAATAATTTCACTATGAATATTATATGAAACCTTAATGGTCCCTATTACCATAAATGTATTTACTTTTGTAATATCCAGTAGAAGAAAGTCTTAAATCGTATTTATCGACAACATCCCAACCTAAGATACGTGGCAAGAACTCATTGTACACGATATGTTGATAAGCTCCTGTAAAAATTTTTCTCGCGGTCTGGAACAAAATTTCGTCATTCCAATGCGGATTGAGTCTGTGTAAAATTTCGGCGATACGGTTGTGCTCTCTCATAAAAATTGTATGCAGTGAAGTCAGTCCAATTTGTTCACTTACTCGTCCATCGCCTGAAACGTATTACGACAACGTGATTGTGTATTTGGAATTATAAACATTTTACAAACCTCCAATAAAACAGTAGCCAGACGACGATTTACATTCTGGATGTATAGGAGATTGGGGCAATAAATCTTTTCTGGCTGGTATCGGGTGTCTTGTAACATTTAATTTACCGATATAATATGCTCTAAGATCTTTGGCCATACAAGAATCTGAGCCGTATACGCTAGAAAGATCTAAATACGCTGAATTTTGATTGGTTGGATCCCTGGGTCCCAAACGTTGTTGACCTGGTAGAGATCTCATAAACGGTAAGCATACTCGACGTCCAGTGTGCACGTCTATTTGCGGATAAAATGGGTCACCAACAGGCACTGGTATCGGCATGCATTCCGGATGAACTGTTATCGGACTATCGCATGATCGGCAATCAGGTATTGATGAGAAGTATCCTTAACAAATAGCATTGACATTTAGCGATTGATTATAATAATAACAATAATTATAAAACTAATATTAAAAAATCATAAATAAATATATAAATTATTATTACCTTTGTGGACTGGAGTAAACGTTATATCGTGGTCTAAAATTTGACCGAATTGCATAAGCATAAGCGTGTAACGGCCATGAAGATGACTGATATCAGGATGAGACATAGTACTCACTAATCTGGCAGATGGTAATGGTGTACCAGTTACGGATGTCATTCTTGGTTGGTTTATTCCTAAAAATGATAGTTACTATTTAATTCATTATTTCTTAAATCATTATTTACCATTTTTAATGATTCGTACCGTTTTCGTAAACAGACGGCAATATACGTTCAAAAGTCGTTAATGCTTTACCAAAATTTGGATTTTTTAAATTGTTACAGTAGCCACTAAATGATCTATAAGGGTTGTGAGGGTCACAAGGGTGTGTTTCTACAGGACATTCGCCATCACTGTAATGGATCGGTGGTGGATATAATTCAGTAAATTGTAAATCATCGAAGAAACCAGGTCCTATAGAATTTAAACTAAATAATGGATCACCGCTATCCAAGATTTGACGACGACGACGACGACGGCTAAAAATATTCAAAACATAAATATAAATATCATATTATAATATATAATTAGTTACATAATATTTGTCAAATCGTATAGGTTATTTTTTGAGATTTTGTATAATAATTATTATAATTAAAATTATTGTTTACACATTAAAATTTGAAAACCAACCTTTTTCCTAACGTTTTCAATAATTCTTTTGAAGCGTACTCAAACAGAAGTGAATTATTTGCTAGTATTAGTGCTGATTTACTTGCTTTACTAAACGCAGCAGCTATTCCGAGAGGAGACTTGGGGTCCACTCCCCCTTCTAGAAATAAAATAAACATTTTAATTTTAATTTTGACTGTGGTTATTATGGATTAAAATACTTTTTGACCATAACAAAAATTCCGTTTGTTTTCTTCTGCTAACGTCATCTTCGGCTTTTTTCCACGCCTCTTTCACTAGTACTTCACTATTAATCCGATCAATATCTTGTTCCGTTTTATTCGCTGTAATTTCGTCATCATCGACCACTGAACTTTCTTTCCATTTATAAATATCTAGTTTATAATGTTGATCACAATTTATTGGATGGTTTCTAAAAGTAAATAATAAAAATTAGGCATTATTTTTATGCTAGAAAGCTATCTGGTAAAATGAAAAATGCATACGGTAAATTCCAAATTAATTAAACCGATTATTGCAAATATAATGTCACAGTAAATGATCAATAGTCAGTAATAATGAAACTCGAAAAACTTACAGATAATCGTCTCGATCTATAAAAGCTTTTGGTTGTATCATTGTAACGTCTTTGAAGTTTGAACAAATAATTCCAGCTAATGTGGTTTGTCTAATCTCTTGTAATTGACTTTTACTGTACGTAGAAGGAGGAAAATCGTTCTCGTACCACAATCGATCACTGTTTTTGGTTAAATATAATTGATTCGCAAGTAAACAAGAAAATGTGGGACCAAATACTGCTCCTTTCAAAGGTGTTTCTAATAAACCTCCAGATAACAAATCCATATCACTATAAGTTCTGAAAAATATTTCGAGAAAATTAAATGTCATGATCAAACAACTTTGTCTAATATCAATTTAACTTACTTGTATAAAGTTTTATTAGCTTCATCTATGGCTTGATTTTCTATTTGAGAAGAACCACTTGAACATACATTTTTCCATGTTTTGTAACTTGGAATTTTAATTTGTCTACCCAAATTCAATAACGCTTCAATACCTATTAAATAATATACTTAATAATGGTTATTTTTATTGACTATAATAATTGTGAGATCATAACTCACTTTTTTTCGGTAAACTATGGGTGATTTCGGCGTCACCTAAATTGTTTTGATTGTATTTATCAAATATAATCGACGGCAACATCGGCAAAACGGTAGCAAATATGCTTTGCATAGTACCAGGTTGGTTGGAGCTTGAATAACCTGTGTAATATCCACGTTTCAGTGGATTTAAATTCCATTCTGTCATCATTGCCTGCCAATATGGAATTCTCACATCACTTAAAACTGAATTAATTTTAAACTGATCAAAATTGTACTCACGTGTCCTATGACATTGGGAATAAACTCATTATACGTGATGTGTTGAAGTTGAGCGATTGTTATTCGCCTAGCTTCTTCGAAAACCGTATTGTTTGACCAATCTGGATTGATATCTCTTAATTCTTCAACTAAACGGTTATGTTCCAATATCAATAAATTATGTATCGTTGTTGAATAATCGGAGTTTTCGTTCGATGATCTACAACAAAACTAATTTGAAATACATTTTTCTTTTTTTCCTCATCCAGTAATTGAAATGTGCAAACCTTGTACAAGGAGTCAATTTAAGATAACCAAACTCAGATACAGTAACTCTTATGGGAGAGTCTTCGCAAGAAACATTGTTGTATATGGGAGAAGCGTCTAAAAAGCTAGTGGCAGCGTTTAATATAACTCCATTGTCTTAATACATTAATTCGAAACACAAATAATATTGTAAATATTTTATTTTGATAAAATATATATATATAAATATTTACCTGTTGTATTTTCAATGGCTAAATCTAGCCTGAGGAAATCAGCCCACATTCCCGACATTACAGTCAAATGTTTATTTCCAGCTATCGATAATCTACTCAATAGTTCTGCCACGTCCGAAGCCTCGGGCCATTTAGTCGAATGCGATTCATCTTAAAATTATAATAATAATTGATAAATTAATATAAATTTGCAATGGAATTGTTTTTTTTTTTTTTTAAGAATTGATTTAATTACTTTGAACTTCCAAGAAAACCTGAAGAAACGGAGAGTTCTTTGCGCCCCAATTCGGTCGGTGAACATTATTGCATCGCCCGTCAACATTTCTATACTTATTCACTGTGCATTTCTCGCTCACGGAGCTACTTACAGTTGTAACAAAAATACAGGCTACCAGCATCAGGAACAACCTAATAAATTAATATTATTTATTTTTTAGAAATCACTGTTTTGATTGTTTTGATTGTATGTATAAAACACAACAAGAATTATACTTTCACCACATAATAAATATTTTATTACAGTTACCGGGTTTTAAAAGTAAAATGCAATATTTAAAAACTAACCAATGATAAACATACACAACATATACAAATATATTATCACTATAATAGAATTTCAATTAATCATCAATTATAGTGACATGAAGTGTATAGTAGTATCGTGCTGTGACGTATTTCGTAGCTGTCATATGATGCGGTCCAACCGAAGCAATTATTATATAATAATATATTGAAATAATTCAATTTTTAACTATTTGAACGTATCATATTATACAAATACATTTTTTATAGAAAGAAAATCAATTTTTTTTATTCATTTATAATCAATTATAATTGTATTAAATAAAACGTTATGTTAAGCATGTAGTACGATTTAATTAGATATACCTGCCTACACACTTCATGCAAATGAAAGTTTTGCACTTGGAAGTAATTATTTATAAATGAACCATACAAATAGTTTCATTCGTCAATTAATTTTATAGTGTGATGGTTAATAATAATTATTTTCAAATTTAGCTCAACAATACTTCCGAAAAAAAACATTTTACTATCAACTTTCAAAGAAGTAATTACTCTCTTTGAACAAATTGAATAATAAATGTCTAGAATTTTGTTAATTTTCATCTTTCTTTTTTTAATTTTTCTCGTAAAAATTAATCTCAATTTCATTAATTTGATATCATCAGAATCATTTTTAATGAACGGTAAATGAAGTAAAAACATCACCGCCTTATTTATTTCATTTATTATATTTTTATCATATTTTTTTTATTTTTACAGTGACAACACCAATTTTTTGTGTTGCGTGTTTATCTTGAAAATATGCCTGAATTAATACATTTTACGGTTACTCATATTTTTTTAAAAAAAAGTATTTCAGGTGAATGAAAAACGACTGTAATCAATTTCATGTAAGGTATTATAATTAATTGAATATGTGATCTGTTTCAATTTTTTAGTCTAATAATTTCATACTTGCTTTTTATATTGTGATATCAATTTAAATATGAAGATAATATGCAAACATTTATTACACAAATGAAATGAGAGAAAAATTGTAATTACCTAATAGAAAAATGTAGACTAATTAGCGACAGTTTATTATGTCTTCAGTATGCAGAAATTCTTTCATCCCACATTACTAACATCGTCTAGAAAAATATATGCACAAACACCTCACCCAAACATTTACATAACATTTAACGTAACACATATCATGCGCAGCTGTAGAAAGTTTATATTATTCATATTTCCTAAAGTTACTGACACATTTTAAGAAAAAAATATTGTCATTTACGATAAGGTCGTACCCAAAGGTGTTATAAACGTAAAATAAATTAAAGTTCAAAACAAATCAACATGGTGTTTTTAAAACAAATTTTAAGAAATTAAAATTATGAAATTATGAAATTATATACATTCGATTACTTAATAAGCTACTACATATGCAAAGTGATTATTGACTCTATTTGCATTTTTTATGTATAGTGTTTTGATTAAAAACACTTTCTTATTAATTTTTGAACAGTAAACTTTAACCGTTGATCTTGTACAGTAGAATATAATATACCTAATAACAGTTGTTGAAATCAATGATATTTAGTTTAAATTTATAATAATTACCTAACATGAAATGTATAGCTTATAAGTAGTAACACGTTAAGTTTGAACGAATAAATGTAGTTATTAAATAAAAATAAGTCCACGGGAGATAAATATATGTTACCACGTTTAGTTCTTGCTAGTTACAAATGATTATTGCAAAAAAAGTTTTATATATATTTTATGCTACTAATATAAATCACATTACATTACATTATTGCAGTTAAAAAATTAAATGTAATATTTTAAAGAAACTAAAAAAATTAATTATTTGTGATATAATTTAATACTAAAAGTTATATTAATAAGATTATTCAATTGTTCAGTACGTATAAAGAAGTCAAACGATAACTTGAAAAATATAAACATTTTAAATTTTATAACGCTAAAAAAGTCTAAAAATTAAAATATAACTTATGATTAGAAAAATATTTTAAAATATGGTTGCTCCATTCAAATTAACTGAATTCAAATGAATAATTCGAATATTTTAATGAAATTAAAAAATTTATAATATCAACACATTTTTTATATAAAAATCTTTTTATAGTTATATTTAAAATTTTATAATTTCAAAAATAAAATTTTAATTTTTATTGTCTTGTAGATTTACAAAATAAAACACATTTAGTGATTCAAAATTATAATTTTAAAATGTTTTTCAGTGTATGTAATCTTCTACAAATGTATATTTTGTAAAATTAACTATTTCTAACATTTTAATTAAAAAGTTTAATTTAGTTTAAAATTTATTTTACCGAATCGATCTGATATATATATATATATAACCTATATAACTATGTATATTTTTCTTATCGAACAAATGAGAAAATTAAATTAAACACTGAAAGAAATACATCACGGTGAACGGTGAGCACCAAATCCGAATCCTTGAATATGTTTATAGTCAATCAACAATTTTTAAATTAAAAATAATCTTATTCTTTCATTCTTAAGAAATACTTAAATCTTACCTTAACCGTAGCACTCTTGGTGTATCCATGATGAGGTATTTCTTCTATAATAGTTGTTGATTTTGATGAATTAAATATTTTTAAATATATCATAAACGTAAAAATATAAAAAATAAAAAAAATGACTAAGTCGAATGCAACGAACGCATTATATGTTCACCGAATTAACCACCGTTAAACGAACGCTAACAAATCACATACTAATACTATCACTCGTCTCTACAGTTACCGATTCGCAGACGAAGAACGCCCTTGTCCACCAACATATGTCCTCCTACTTTTCACTGTTAAACGTGAATAATACTACTTTCCCTATCGTCTGCTAATGGATAACAAAACGACGAAAAAAGTAAATGAATGAACCGTATTTTTAACGTAGAGCAGTATCTAAATTAAGATTGGTAATTATTACCAATGAAAATAACACATATTTATAAAATGTTTGAAAGCAAAAAGCAATTGATCGAGAATAGTACTTAATGTGTAATTAAAACCAATGGCAAAAGAATCCCACTATGATGTTTATTATTTTTCGTAGCATTTATTTTAAAATAAACATAATAGCTAATACAAGTACTACTATTAGAAAATTTTTATTTGAAACGATCTAGTGTTTACGGTTTTAAATAAAAAAAAAAAATTTTGTTTTTGATGTATTACACGAATACCATTAATTTAACGATGGATATTTTGATTTATTCTCAAAATAAAATTTTAGGAGAAAAATATATAAGGAATAAACATTTTGTTTCATAGTCAAACAACAATGATTTTTTAATTTAATCACTATTTTTGAAAATTATAATATATTGAATAATTATAAATTTCATTTATTGATACCTATAACATTCGAAATAAATTCGAATAAGATTGTTTTATAGTTTTGTCATTAATTTTTTTCAAAGAATGTGTTTAATTTTTATTGATGAATGGATTTTATAAAGAAAATCGATTAAATAAAATTGATTTTCCCTTTGATTTAATATTTGATAAACATCACTCCTCTGTATAATATTATTTTTTATTTTCTCTACACATTTCAATTTTATTTAAAAAAAAACGATTTAAAATTACGAAAATGTTTTTTTAGTTCATATTGCTTTATATACAATGAAATCTTTATGAATGTTAAATGTTAAAATGGTAATTATTTGTTATGTATATTTTTATAAAATAGAATAGTAATGATTGCATAAAATCATATTTTAAGTGAAAACGTTTTCTTCGCTAAACTAACCATAAGTGTTATCAGAAAATACGATAAGTACATCGTTTCATATCAATAAATATGAATTCGAATAAAAGTCCCATCGAGCGTTTTATTCAAATCCCCGCAAAAGTCGCCGTTCACGAATATTCGTTTACACACGTTCTCGCGCTCCGAAAGTTCGCTCGTAAAGCATATAATCAAATGTTATGCACGCAAACACCGCTCGAGAGGGTGTAACGACGTTATTATCGCAACTTTTTAACGCTCACTTAGGTCGCAACAGTCGAGAGTGCATAACACGGTTAACCACCGTATCACCTCGCGGGGAGGACATGTCCTTGTCTCGCCTCTATCCTCACCCCCATTCGAAGAATAAAAAAATATAAAAATAAAAAATACGCTTTCATCTCGCGTGCCCATGACTACGCACGCACGTTCGTCACAATGATCTTATTAAAACAATTACACCCGATCAATTAATTAACGCCGTGAATCGATAGTACATGCATGTAATAGTTATGCTACATGCAGGCCCGGATTAACACTATCGTAGGCCGTAGGCCCCTAGTTCTTGCAGAGCCGTTGTCCAGTATTCAAATGATTGAGAACCCTTCTCTTCGGGAGAGGAAGGGTTGAATCTAATGCAGTGTTAATATTTTACAAACAATAATACATTACAACATTAAAATCAAATCTAAATTTTTATACGATAAAAGTTTTAACAAATGTTAAAAAAAATTCATTTTAATCCAATATATATATAATATAAATTGTCAAAAACCATAAAAAATTTTTTTTATATCGATTTGCATACTACAAAAAAATCATAGCCAACCATTTTTGTATGTCCAAAAAAGTTCGTAGGTCCTAGGCACAGTGCCTATAGTGTCTATGCGCTAATACGACCCTGGCTACATAAAATTACGTGTCGTGCGAATTATGTGATATACATATATGTAATTTTTTTTTCGTGCGGGTCTAATAATACATCGTAAATGAGCTGTTCGCGTATCAGACCGATCAAGGAACGCCGTACGATAGTAATAAATCCATCAAAAACGAGTCCTGTTGACCGTATACGAGAAAATATCACTCGATTTAATAGTAATAACACTAACGCGTCAACCAGCGCGCACGGGTGTCAGTAGGTCACGAGCGAATTCGATGTGTAAAGGCTAAACCTTTCCAAATACGCGCGCGGACTGCTCTAGTGGGCCCGTAAGCGCGCGCCGCGCAACAATAACAGTGTGTAAACAATATTGTTTTTCGATTTTGAAAATACCTAATAAGTTGCACCGTACACTATTACGTAAAGGTTAAAGACCGCGCGAATGGACCGCCGCCGCCGCCACCGCCGCCGCCGCCGCCGCCGCCATCGGTCCAAGGAGCGTTCGGAAAATAAGAATCGTAGGCGACGCTATTGTTCTAATGTCGAGGGGAAGGCGCGACGACTGTCGTCCCGTCAAAATCCGCGTTCCATAATACGTATAATAATGATCACGTTAATCCAATCCGATCTGCTGTTGCGCAATACAAATGTTGTATTAAAAATAATTTCGATTTTCGTGACCGATCTTGACGGACGTCTGGACAGGGACAGGCTCGTATATATATATAAGTATATGTATGCGTGTGTGTGCGAGCCCATAAAACGATCTTGAACGCACATTTTTAGTGAGTCATGGCCATCGTTTTCGTGTTCAAATGGTTACATATGTTAAAAATATTTATTATGTACTACACATTATTATACTACGGAATGTGTTCCAACGATTTTCACTTTGACATTTCAATATATTCAATAACACGAACAAAGGACCACACTGCGTTTGCGTGTTTTCGAAAATACGTCTACAACAACATCTGTAAGCATTTTACTGTTTTAATCGAGTCGGAATTGAAAAACGAATTAGAATAAAACGAGTTTAGTTTGGAGCAATAAACTGTTATGACTTATAATCAAAAATTATTTAGTGTTTACACTCATAATACGTGAATATTAAGACATTGAGTCTTAATCTAAGATAGGTGCTAATATATAATATCGTACTAAATACATTAAACAACATGATTCTTGCAAAAGCGAAAAGAAAGAAGACAGGTATAAAATCATTTCATCATACTTATTTCTCAAGTACATCATCTGGAAATAAAAACAAACAAACTCATGTAAATCACGAACACATCATATTACATAAGCATCTTAAGTACCAAAATAAAATTACATTCAAAATCGTTTGAGTGTTCGATGACTTACGTATTGTGTTTTATCATTATCATAAAATATGGTTTGAAAATAAATTGTTTACTTTACTGGATTTTGTATTTATATTTATATATATATATATATATATATTTCTAAAGCATTTTTCTAAAAATTAAGATACTAAAATTACCTTTATTCTACCGTAAAAAAAGCGTACTGATGTTTTGTTAATTTTTTTGTGTTCAACCCGTGTGTCTAACACTTACATATGAATAACTTTTAAATAAAACAGACATTTTTTATATTCTGATGTACTAGTAAACCCATTTGCCAGCATTGTAGTTGAAATACAATTATGATTATTTTATCAATTCACAATTCTTTTAAACCACAAATATATAGTTTGAAAGTTTTTACTTGTGCAGAAACTTGTTAGAAATGTCAATGAAGTTGAAATATTATACAACGAAATTAAATTATTATCTATATCTACCTATAAAGACTAGGTATATCAGTAGGTACACATTTCTTTTTAACGTTTTATTAGGTTAGTACATATTATGTCCCTGAAACAAGTTTTCTTATAATAATGGTTTGACATCGCATTATAATAATATGCATGAAACACAGTATGCTTGAAAATATGTAACTTTTATTATGCGACATTATTTGAAGTGGTCTTTATTGACATTTTGACATTTACATTGAGTGTCCTTCGAAGACTTCGATCGAATAGTAATGATTCACGATTTTTTGTTATGGCTAGTGCATTTTCTAGACATTAGTTAATGGGCTCACCAACGGACATTTTAATGATCCCCATGAAGAAAAGGCAATTCTTAAAAAAAAAAAAATAGTTTTTATGTCGTAAGTTCAATAAATGTATAAATTATATTTTCGGAAATTAATGGGATATTAAGGAATCTTAAGTATTCTAATCATTTTAAACCTCAACTATGGAAATAATCTAATCGTGGAACAATTGGACAATTGGATTAAAAATTTTATTTTGAATACGAAAAACATTTAGTTAACTGTGCTTAAAATCAGAGGTGTAAATTTGTTAGAATTATTTGAGTGGGGATAAAACAAAAGTATTCAATACCCACATATGAAAAAAATATTTGTCGCTGCGCTAGCATAATATATACTTGCGTAATATTAGTGTATTGATGTAGGTATGCTTATTGTTATGCCTGAAAATTAATTCCTCTACTCTCCTAGATTTCGTCTCTGCGTAAAATTGTTTATGCAGTTTTTGCACGTATAATACATTTTGAACAATTTTACATTATGTATTTTATGTGATCTATTCGTTATCTATACGTCTTTGAAAATAATCAATAATGCGTAGAACTGAAAAGGACTTAAATATAATTTCGCTAGGTTGCTGAGAGATGTACATTGATGAAAATAGTTTAAAAATCAATACTTTTATAATATGGTTCATAGACCGTCAGTAAATTTTATCTTGATGGCTCCATATTTAAAAGAAAACCGATTATTTGATGTGTGGCTGTTTTCCTTATTGAGAAAAAATATATGTTATACCGGTGGGCTTAAAAAAAAAAGTGTTGTAAAATATCCATTAATAATAGTTTAAATATGTATAA